TGACATGACCATCGTCTACAAATCTGGGAAGAGGCACACCGACGCCGACTGTCTCTCACGGTCGCCAGTGGAAACTGTCGCTCCTGATGACGAAAACATCGACGCGGCATTCTTGGGAGTTGTCAACACAGCCACTATTGCACGAGAGCAGCGCAGTGACCCTGAGCTGTTACCACTCATTGAATATTTAGAAGGACGACGTAAAGACGTGCCGCGGTTATTTGCTAGAGGACTGCCACCTTTTGCTTGCGAAACGATGTTCTTTATAAGAAAAACTTCTCACCAACTGGTAACCCGCACTTGCTCGTCGTGCCTGCCTCTCTTCGAAAAGAAATGATGGAAGCGTGCCATGATGAAGCAACTTCTGGTCATCTAGGCTACACCCGAACATTGTGCCGACTACGATGCAAGTACTACTGGCCAAAGTTACCTGCGGCGGTTAACCATCACGTGCGAACGTGCACCGACTGCCAAAGACGCAAAGCGCCTCCCAGCAAGCCAGCCGGTCTTTTACATCCAGTCGAAGCACCAGAAAAGCCGTTCACCCAGATTGGAATGGATTTCCTGGGTCCCTTTCCAACTTCCACAACAGGGAACAGATGGATTATTGTGGTCACTGATTACCTGTCCCGTTATGCAGAGACTAAAGCTATGCAGCGTGTCACAGCAGCAGAAGCCGCTCAGTTTTTCATCGAAAACATCGTCCTTCGGCATGGCGCTCCGACAACAGTGATCACAGATAGAGGACCTGCCTTCACCGCAGAGCTTTTGGAGTCGATTCTCAGACTCAGCGGTACAGCTCACCGGAGAACAACTGCATACCATCCGCAGACAAAACGGACTGACGGAGCGCCTCAATAGGACCCTTACAGACATGATCAGTATGTACGTTGACACAGAACATAAAAACTGGGATCAGATATTGCCGTACGTGACCTTTGCTTATAACACCGCTCGACAAGAAACCACTGGAATGACACCGTTCAGTCTGATCTATGGTCGCGAAGTCACGACAACATTGGACGCCATGTTGCCACATGAGTGTGACGACATCCATGTAGACGCCGAAGAATTCACTCAGCGTGCCGAAGAAGCCAGACAGCCCGCGCGCGTGCGCATCTGTCATCAGCAGCATCAAGATGCACAACGCTACGACAGCCGACACAAGTTTGTTAGCTACTCACCAGGCGACAAAGTGTGGGTCTGGATTCCGATACGTCGACGTGGACTGTCTGAGAAGCTGCTAAGACGGTACTTTGGTCCATACAGTGTCACGCGACGCTTGAACGACGTGAACTACGAAGTTGTTCCCGACACTAATTGTAGTTCTAAGCGCCAAAAGCGTTTGCCCGAAGTCGTGCACGTCGTGCGCATGAAACCATATTTATCGAGTTAATTAGCTCCCGGTTACCGTTTTCGTACGACCACTTCATACGCCTGGTAGAGCACCTAACTTGCGCATCGGGACGATGCTTCTTTCGGAGGGAGGCAAATGTCAAGTGCTTGCCCAAGAAAGACGATGACAGTTGTGCATGTGCCACGAAGGACTATGAAATGGACGAAGAAGAAGAACTTGCTTGCGCGTTCTAATTAAAAAGATCTACCTGCTTTTGGTGTCTCAGTCTCTACGGCAAGACCTCTGTTTTGACGTCGTGACAATATGTAAAACGTAAACACTGCGTCACCCTTATATAAACCTATTTGTTCGCTCTTCGTGTTTGTTGCCTCCGCCACACGGCATGCTTCAATCGTCGGATCTTTAACTCCGCTTCCTGATGACACTGGTTCCGAACAACTTTCCCCCCGATGCTTGGCGACCTATTTGAAGCAACCTTGTGGCCCCCTGCCAGGAACTGGTTTCACTAGCGGTGAACGCGCGCAGCGTCTCGCCCTCAGTACCTGCTCCGAGTGGCCCACGAAACAGAAAAATCATCTCCGCGGTGCGCCTGCAACGAACTACGCTGCAGTGGAAACAGAATGCCATCTTTTGTGTTATTGCCGTGCTCTCGGTGATGCGCGGAAGCGTCTGGTCACTGAGTACCGTCTCCTCGGAGTGCCTTGTATAGCCCTGCTAGACATCCTCCATCCCAACGACTGAGAGGAACTTGGCCACTCTGCCCCTGAGGCCGTATACACTGCTTCCTTGATGACGCGATCTTTAACGACGAGCTTCATTTCGAAGCCTCTCGCCATGCTTATTCGGCTACGCCTGCAGAGGTCTTCACGCATGTTGATATATATAAGCTGCGATACACCGTAATATCAAGAAGGCATATCCGCTGCAGTCATTTATGAAAGAGCAGCACACCCCAGTTCTCACCACAGGCGCGGCTTTTGCAATATCCTGGACAAATGTACACAAATGAAAATTATACGTAGCTTATTGATACACAGGACACCCTACGCATGTGCGGTGGTTGAAATTTCTGCAGCCCTCCACTGCGGCGTCTCTCAAAATCATATGGTGGTTTTGGGACGCTCAATTAAGCCATACAATTGCTATCTTCACCGGAAATAGCTAATACGAGTAAAAATTCCCTTGAACATCCAAAACACAGATGCACACCGTTACGGGAAATGCACTGCTACGTTTTCCTAACGATGCTGCTGAGTGTGCAGTCACTGCGAGGTTAACAAGTGCCAATAATGACGATTATCTCTTAATCCGACAAAGGCGAGCACCGATTACACGCACCGAACAAGCTACATAAGCACAAACAGGAGCCAAGGCCGAAGCCCGAAATGTCGCAAGCCAGCGAAGAGATCAAGGTATCGATGTAGCACGCATCGTTTGCGAGATAATTTTAGTGTTCACGAGTAAATACGTATAAAGACCCCTCTACAATACGAACTTGTATATGCTAAACAAGAACGTCTCAAGAGAAACGAGGCAATGCTGCAGCGATGAGGCGACTGACGAAACTTGGGCACGGTTGCTGGGACGCACGTGCTTGGCGCGTAAACAGAAAAATTGGCCAAGGTCAGAGATACGCTTGGCGCTTGAGTTCACCGGCCGCGCTTGGCACCCACCCAAGAAACTTCACGGCGTCGTCACAGTCAACGTATATATTGAACTTTCACTGCATTCCCTCTGCTGCGCTGTTATAATGGCATACAGGGTGTGTGGATAGATGACGATTGTGGCGCCAGGGTGGGCCGCGCGAGTTTTCAGAACAAAAAATTGGCGACACCCGGAGTGGTGTTTCGAGCGCGTGTTTATAGAGTAGGTCGCAGCTAAAACACCTCCTTGGCATAGAGCAGTTCCGAGTTCGATTCTCACACGAACTGAACGATTTTATTATTTTATTTGCGCCATTTGGGATTTCTGCTTCACGGACAACGCTCACGACCAACGACGCCGACACCAGAACTGCTGCGAAACGATCTCAATAAGGCTAGCATTTTAATGAAGAGTCAGCTATACTTCCGCGAAGATACACCCACGCTTTCATCATATACCCATTCCCGATGGAGGCGGAAAATTTGTAGTCCCGTGTGCTCAGATTTGGGTGCACGTTAAAGAACACCAGATGTTGGAAATCGCCGAAGCCCTCCACTACGGCGTCTCTCATATTCTTGTGGTTGTTATATATATATATATATATATATATATATATATATATGAGATCTAACAGACAGTAATGCCATGGATTGTACAAGGGAAGTTATTATAACCAATGGAATGTAAATAAGAAGAAAAGTGGGTGAAAAAATAACCAGCCGTGAGCAGGAGTCCTGCTCACGGCTGGTTATTTTTTCACCCACTTTTCTTTCTTATTTAAATTTCATTGGTTATAATAACTTCCCCTGTACAATCCTTGGCATTACTGTTTGTTAGGTCTAATTAATATTGTGTCAAAAAAACACACAAAAACGATAGGTATACACTTCTTTCCCATATATATATATATATATATATATATATATATATATATATATATATATATATATATATATATATATATATATACCGCCTCACCGCGGTGGTCTAGTGGCTAAGGTACTCGGCTGCAGACCCGCAGGTCGCGGGTTCGAATCCCGGCTGCGGCGGCTGCATTTCCGATGGAGGCGGAAATGGTGTAGGCCCGTGTGCTCAGATTTGGGCGCACGTTAAAGAACCCCAGGTGGTCAAAATTTCCGCAGCCCTTCACTACGGCATCTCTCATAATCATATGGTGGTTTTGGGACGTTAAACCCCACATATCATCATATATATATACCAATTCCAATATGACGGGGATTTGAACCAAGGTTTTGTTTTTTGCCTTTTTCTGTGGCCCAACAAGCGGCTATAAGATGTGCGTTCAGTTTAAAGCAGGAAGTCATCTTTGGATAATTCAGTGGGGTTTCACTTGCCGAAGTTACGCCGTACTTGGATAGTGGGAGTGGCTCTATCTGGGTTCATTTTGATCACCTTTGGTCCTATACGCAAGCCTAATACGGTACATGTTCTTGTGCTTAGTCCTCGGTGCACTAAGATAAATCTAGTTGTTTTCATCTAAGGCACTGACGATTTAAACATATTAACAACTACAATTGAAAGGATAAATTTCGGCGACCTGGTGTTCAATAAACGTATCTAAATCTAAGCGCGGGGTCTCCTCATCATTCCGCCTTCACTGAAACAGTGCGTAGGACTGAATTTCATCTTTGGGAATGGCAGGCGGAGAGGGGGGGAATACGTGGTTATTGTCCCGAATGGAAGGGCGGACAGGCAAGGGTGATCGTGTGGCGTTTTATGCTCTGTCACCTGCGGCAGAAAGAAATTTCTGAGGGGGAGAGGGGAGGGGGCTACGCCGCGGCTGGGATTCGATCCCGCGACCTGCGACTCAGCATTCAGGCACCGACACTACAAGACCACCATGGCGGGTAATTGGCAGCATACATTGGTAACCAGTATTTGGAACATTCAGTGTTCGGTCCCGTTATGTTAGCGCGTGCGCTGCTGCGTCAACAAAACAGCCTAGTCTGCGAAGCTCTGCGTAGAACTAGCCTCCCACCTTTCAAGTCGAGGTCTGAGGCGGCCGTGCGCAGGGTGCGCCGAAGTTTGTCGGCGTCGCGTCCCGCCACGCCCCAGCGAAGACCCTCGCACGAGCGGTGCAGCTCCTGGAGCACGTAAGTACCCGTTACACCGGTGGCTCCGAAGAGGACGATGTCCAGCTCCCTCGACGCAGACATCCTGCCGTCGCGGACGCTCAACACCGTCTGCTCTTGGCACGCGTCACTCCCTCTGATCGGAAAACGTTCTCGCCACTTTTCGCTCGTCAACCTTTCACTTGCGCAAGTGTTGCTCCACACGAGAATGTCTGAGCGGTTGCTTGTTTGGGTAGAATCCCGCAAACAAGGCAATCGGCTGACGTATGTAGTAGGTGTGCCTATTTCGCAAAGTTCCGTCACAGAGGCTATCATTGGCTTAACGCGTCTGCGCAGAGTAAAGACCAGTGCTGTTGAGCAGTTTTGAAGCGACAGCTCGTGGGAGCTCAATGATCGCACGGATCTTCATAACACTATCACGCGCCCAAAGAAACTGACAAGGGAATTTCGCCAATAAAGAAAAACGTGCGCAAACTCACAGACTACTGGGTAGCAATTATTTTCCTTCACGTGCATTTTGAAATATATTTCGTTTCTTTCGTTTGTAGATATCTCGTTGCTTTCACTGGTTAGTTTTATCATTTCTTTCCTTTATGGAGTCTCTTATTTTTATTTTTTATCTCTTGCCCGAGACACTGCAACACCTCAGCTACAGCGGAGTTACGCTGTTCATTTCTATTCTATCAGGATCCGCGTCCATGCTATTATACGGCCGAAAATTCTCCTGTGATTCGATAAAACTTACCATCAGGCAGTGCCACTCAGTCGAAATCAATTCACAGTGTCCCAATAACACGTGTCACGCACGACATCTTCGCACGTAATGCGCCAGCATGATATGCGATTCTGAAACCTGCCTATGTTCTAAACGGCAACATCGCTGGAATGGGCGTGCGTTTCCTGCGGGAAACGGAGCTCACGCGGCTGCTACCGTAATCTAGCTACAGTCACGCGATAACACCGCGGTATCGGCGTTGAAGCAGCTTTGGAGCTATGCAGGCGTGAAAGAATCTCGGCTCAGAAACACCGCTTCACGGAACCGATGCCGCAAAAGCATTTGCACGTCCTTAAATAAAAACAGCAAGAGGTAGCTATCATCGAGTTTCCGCCATGCCGCAACAAGGCAAAGGCATGCACGCTATTAATTCACCGCGGCCTTGAGTATTTTCTTTTTTTTTTCCTCTCAAACATACGCAGTTGGTTGGCAGGCTTAGTAGATTGGGACATCTCGCGACGAAATGGCCGATGAACCTTTCAGAGGTGGCTGAAAGGAAGGAGAAAAAGAGAACAAGGTTGCGGCATTTCTCGCACGCTTTTTCCTTCGCCTGGCCTGCTCACTATTCGCGCCCTGGCAGTTTGCTCGTTTCTTGAGTAGGCGCACATGCTCCGGGCTGCGGAGCTAGAGTGGTTGCGTTACAGGGCAAGCCAAGTGACCCCACGGCGCTTTCGGTTGGCCCCACCTAATAACGCCCCATGGTTTTATATTATTTTATCGAATTCTAGCGACGCATGTGCACTCACACAAATAACACGAACATAAATTTAAAAAATAGGGGTGGATGAATAGAAAAGCCATCCTGACGTGAGCGGAGGACACATTGCATTCCTGGTGAAAAGGCTGCGTGATGTTGCACACGAATCACGTTGTACAATGGACTGAAACGGTGGCTATAGAAGCATTAGAGTTTATGAAAACAGAAAAGGTCAGTGTGTTTTGCTTGTACGATGAAATTTGATATCATGCGAGATTCGGAGAAACAACACGAAACCGCAATACCGGACACAAATGCACCGATAATTCAAGATGCATTCAATGCACTGAAGTTTGAAAAACGCGAAACCAGCATGGTTTGGAACTCATTGATTGATTTGTGGGGTTTAACGTCCGAAAACCACCATATGATTATGAGAGGCGCCGTAGTGGAGGACTCCGGAAATTTTGACCATCTGGGGTTCTTTAACGTGCACCCAAATCTGGGAACACGGGCCTACAACATTTCCGCCTCCATCGAAAATGCAGCCGCCGCAGCCGGGATTTGAACCCGCGACCTGCGGGTCAGCAGCCGAGTACCTTAGCCACTAGACCACCACGGAGGGGCATGGTTTGAAACTCCGATGGCGACGGATTCTCTGAAGAACAAAGTAGTCGAGTGTAAGAGTTATACGACTTGTATGACTTATTGTGAACCAACTTTTGCTCTATGGAATGAACTAGGCAAGTGCGCTCATTAGAATATTTCTTTGAACATACAACACGGCACAGACAAAGGACGACGCATTGTACGCCGCAGCAGTCCCCTTCTTCTCTTGCGCGTGCCACAGCCCGTTCAACTATGAAGAGTTTCGTGGCGCAATCAGTGTTCATTGTGCGCATTGTCGTTGACTCCGTGTCGCTCAATTCAGTTTCATTTAGAGATATTTTTCACACAATGTTATCGTGAAGCGCAATCATCTAGTAATCGATGATAATGTAGTGATTATGCAACAAAGACTGAAATTAATAAGGAAAGAAATATGCAAGGACCGAGATTATGAACTAGCGAAACAGCACATTGATGAGCAGGTCTTCTCCCTAATTTGGAACAAATTGACAGCAAGCAGCGGCTGTAAAATTGATTTGCATATGAAAAATAAAAATAAAAAAAATTAAGAAGCAATAAAACCAAGTACATGCGCATATCGCAAATGAAAATAACAAAAGAGTGAAATAATTCTATGTACTTGGCAGCAGTGAAAAAAGAGAAAAGTTAAAGACGCGCCATTATCATTAACTCCAAATACTGAGTTCAGTTATGAAAATAATATATTATTTGAAAAATATTCAAGTACGACATATATTACGTACAAGTATCGAAACGAGCCCAACGGCTTACATACAAATGCCAAATTCTGCAGACGTTCATTCACAATTAGCAAAAAAGCCACACTTTCGGCACAGTGGCAGAACGAAGAGTGGGATAAGAAGCACAAAAAATGACCAGCGGTTTCAAGCTTCTTGGAAAGCGACAGTCAGGCACAGAAGAGGTATGAAAAGAACACACACAGGACGAGTTATAACAACTTTTACAGCCGGACACACGTGACACGCTATTCACACGCAAAGTAGGACAGCCGATAAGAAGACGAAAATATAAGCAGATCAAGCGCGAACTAAAAATGTGATATCGATTACTTCTTTTGTGTTTGAGCAGCACACTGCAAGTTTGCCTCTATACACAACCCAACACTGTTAGATATTTCTATCTTCTTTTTAACTGTGGCACGTTCAGTGACCCCTCCACGTCTCCTTCCACGTGGTGACGTCCGTCGCATTTTAAACCCGGCGTTGTATATGAGGTAAGAAACGTTGTCGCAATATTGCGCCGAAACTACATTGAACAATACCAAAGAAACAAATGGGGAGCCTGTAGAGAATTCTGTAAAAAAAGTTATGAAGTCCCACATTTTTCTGGGTTATCCTATGATGAACGTGCAATGAACATGGTGCCAATAAGTTGCCATCGCTCTTGCGAATAGAGAAAACATACTCGGATGATTCAACCAAGAGTACAAGAAAAATTAACCATTGGAAGTGTTGGTATTTCATTTTGAAGAAAATTGTGCGAGAAGCAAGGAAGAGAAGAGAGAAAGGAAGAGCGCAAGTCCATGCTAAAGCCTTAGGGTTCTATTGAAAACACAAAGAGTACGAAGGATAAAAAGTCCGCCGTAATGGAGCAGTGGTCGTGGTTCTCGGCTGCTAATCCGAAGGTAGCGGGTTCGATTCCAGTCGCGGTGGTTCACATTCCGATGGAGGCCAAGTGGTAGACGCCCGTGTAACGTGCGGTGTCAGTGCAGCCTAATGGGCACCGAATGGTAGAAATTTCCGAATAGGTCTACTAGGGCGTTTGTCATATTCATATCATATATATATATATATATTGTTATTATAAAAGAAAACAAGTAGAAAACTTGCACGCACATGGTCACAAAACTACTACATTTGCGCATCTAGATAACCATTGTGTAATTCCTACAATACCATGTAGGGCTCGGCGACAAAACCATCTCCTGCCTTTAAATTAAAAATAGGCTTCAACAACTTCACAAGTCATACGATCTTTCTGCCTCACAATTACTCTGGTTACTCGGAAATCTTGTCTGCAAGTTAACTTACGACAATTCATTGGCAGGTTAGTGGAAACTTTTTATTTGATATATAATCTGACACTGTTAAACCTTTAGTTGAGATGACGACCACACTGGCCAATATAGTTGTTGCCACAAGAAAGAGGGCACAGTGTATGATTTCCTTGCAACAGCCTGATAGGGCGTCCCTGTGTTTGCCTTTACGCTCGAAGCATTCTTGCGCAGTACCCTCCATCTTTCTATCAACAGCCCCATATATTCTGCATAATTTATTTCTCGTAGAAAAAAGAACTATATGAGTGTTGTACTTTGCTCCCACCTTCTTTGGGAGACACAATACACCATGCAGACAGGGAATGCTGACGAGCACCTTCTCATCGGGATTTATAACATCGCTCGCCGAACCTTCCCACTCAGATTTCCAGCTGCACAGAGTCCTTTCGCATAGACGAGCCTGAATGGCGGCACGAAAGTAAGCCTCCCTAAAACGCTACAGCTGCTTATAGTAATGCTCTCTGCAAGAAGGTGTGGGCATGTTTTCTTCAATGCTTCGGTCAATGAAGAATCTAGTAGCAACGCAATTTTTGACTAACTTGGAGTGGCACGACCAAAGATCCAACCGAATAATCTGATCTAGAAACTTCGTGGCAGCTTCTTTACGGAACCTCGAAGATGAAATTTAGTCCAGCCCCCCCCCCCCACCTTTTTTTGAAGTTTCAGATCATCTAATGTGGCGCTGACACATTTGCATGAATCAACAAGAATAAGTTTATCATTCACACACCTAAACGCACTTACTGCATTGTCTTTTATGTCTAATACGATTTCTTTGTCAAATCTGCTCAAATTGATTTCGCTTAAAACTCGACAACCTTAAAACACACACCCAACTGCTCAGTAAAAACGTCTTCAGCAATTCTAATCGCACTACTCCGCAAATAAATTCCCAGACACTGTAAAACAAGCCTTCACAGAAGTCCCAGAGCTGTTCTA